AAGACGAGATATATATATATATATATATATATATATATATATTGCTGCGAGAAGAGGAGCGATTAAACAATACGAATTTCTTCGCTGCAGAAACGCAAATTTATCGCAGCTTGTTGTCGCGTTGATTAATTTGTAAATAAACCATTGAACGATTGTGACTAAACACGAGTGCGCAGTGGCCCGGTTCCACCCCCGAATATAACGGGAGGGACGATGTAGCGAGATGGTGTTTCGCGGTTATTACGCGATATCACTCTTGCGCCAACCCATGGTACTATGAAAATAAGTGAAGAAACCTGTTGCGTTACACATTGATGAGAAACGCGCGCGCGCGCGCGCGCGCATGTTCTCTCGCACTCCATCAATATCTAAACTTTCTTCTTTCTTGGCGACGATACGATCGAGCTTTTTATCGATGCTCGTGTGTTTTTCAGTGAATCTGTGTAGTAATTCGAAAAATATTTATAACACGATTAAAACTCTTTAGATATAACAACAAGAATTATAATGGTACCGGCTTATCTTTTTCCGTTAAATTATCGACTACGTCAACTTTTTCACATCAATTTTATTTTCTCTCTACTAACAGCTCTATCTTCTAGATCTTTTTCTTTAGCTTGATACAGTACGATATAAAACCTTGATCTGAAAGTTGCAATTTTTTTTTAAGTATTTAGTTAAGAAACACTTTGGACACAGCGAGTTTTGAACAATGTCGTAAGTGAATTTTTAGTCGCTCGTAAAACTCTTTTGATAGAAGTAGGTTGATTACGAAAGAGAAAAATTGTTCGGTTCGTCGTCTGTTCTAAATGTATTCTATGAGCAATAATTGATCATAATGGCTGCGTCACTTAACGGAATAGTTAACCGTTACCGGAAAAGTGCAGCATGAATTGCCGGCGGTTTCGACGAATCAACGGGATTATCGGTGTCCGGTATTGGAGAAATTTAAATTTCACGCCGCGGACTCTCTCGTATATGGTCCCCAGATACGGGTAGTCGTGCGCGAAGATGTGCACGTGCATAGACGCGAGGGTGTGCGTGCCGTCACCGTGTGTAACCGTCGACAGTTATGTATACGTGTTCATGCCTCGCGTTCCTGTTGATTTAATTACGACGATTGGCCTGACAAATCTAATTGACGTGCATCAATTATTTGGGCCGCGTTCGAAGGCCGTTTAATTCCCTATCCTCTTCCCGACGAGAACACGGTTTCGCAGTAATCCCATTTTTCAGAAATCCCCTCCCCCTCCCCTCCCTCTTTCTCCTTCTCTCTTTCTCTTTGCGAAATTTCGTTCGCCATTGTCTCGTTGAGTCGGCAGCAGAGTCGTCTGCTACGATGTTCAATCAACAGACTTCCTCAAGATAAACAGATAAATTTTATTTATTTTATAAATTTATAAAATTTATAAACTGGCCAGCTTGCAGGTAAGTAAACTGCTACTTTTTTACATATCTCTGTCGGTCTCGTATAAAAGCTATATCGTAAAGGAAATCCGTCTCCCACTCCGTAATTTGGGATATTCGTATTTGCGTACCGTTGCACACCGAACGAATAATCCATAATCGCGTGTTTACCGCGCCCAATCATGTGCCTAATTATATGAACCTGTATACGGTGTACGATACTAATGCAGCAAATTATGCCGCATGCCGTTATTGGGATCACCGTGACATATACGCCGGTTCAATTGCTAAAATCTGCGTATTTAAGCGAGAAAGGGTTCGCCAGGGGTCGTGGGTGACAATAAATTATTGGCGATGTAACGAATTTTCAAAAGCGTTGCTCGTGGCTTACTCTTAATCTGAATTACATTTGGTTTAAGCGGCGAATTTTTTCAGATTTACAGATTTCGGGAAATAAAATTCCCATTGATTCTCGCTCGGAAATACCTAACTCCGTAACTGCGATGCGAACTTACGTACGATTACAGGATCGTCCGTTTTAAGCGTTTTCGAAGGATGATTACAACTTCTTTACGAAGTTTACATCGCATTTAAACTTAATAATTGAAACTTGAATTTACGAAACTTGAGGATCGTTTTACCGCGGTAAAATTATCTACCTTGGAAAAGAGATCATTACGATCGTTGTACTATGGCGTTGTACTTGTAATATAACAAAATATCACGTCGCAATGCGTGGCACACTGATGGAACATTCGCCTCAAGTGCGCGCGCGCGCGCGCGCGCGTGCACGTATATGAAATACTTGGATGTACTCAGGAAATGAGATCCGAGTCTATCTACGCGCAATCAGATATGGGAATTCGCGTGCCTCGCGGATATTCAGATATTCACAATGGCCTGGATTCGTGCCGCGCACGCTTGACATGTTGTTCAACAACGTTAATCAGTCCAAACGATTATTCCTCTCTGATGCTTCATCGACATTTAGTCATCTGGCATTTTTAGGAGCGCGTCGTCATACGTGGTTGCGCGGAAGCTACTGAAAAGTATTATCAGCGCGATAAAAGGTCAAAATAAAACCTTTGACCTTTCAGAGAGATGTATTAAAATAAGTAGCTTCTTTTTTCTAAATCTACAAGAGCAATGATAATTAGAAGAATTTTTTTTTTTTAGATAATTTATCGAGAAATCCATTTGCGACATTTTTTCCTTTTACTCGCTATTTATTTGGTGAGAAAATCTATGTTTTGCCGGTTATAACAACGGGAGGGAAAATTCTGCGATGATATCGTTAGCGTTATTATCGATCGTCGAAGGCATTTGTTACAAAGTCCCAACAAGCGTGATAGGAGTCGTCCACCCTCGAGGAATGCATTCGCGCGCATCGGTCGAATCCGCGGTGCACTTAACCAAAGCGCGGCTGAAAGGGCACAAAACGGCAGAGGCGACGCAGTTGGCCGCAATAGCGATAGATAGCGAGATTTGGGCATAGCGAGCGGCACAATACACGCTCGCACCGGGCCTTCAGAAAATGAGATACGATAGGAGGGTGAGCACGAAGGGGTTGGTGGTAGGTGAGGCGCGAGGCAGGGACGGTGGGTGAACGAGAGGAGGACCGGGAGAGGGGCCTATCACTCGGCTAGATCCAATACAATGCGAACTATTGTACCCACGTTCGCCATCCACTCCAATTCCTGGCGTGGAGATATGCAGTCGAGTCGGGGCTGCACTTCGCGCGGGGGTGGCACACTCGTATGACTGTATATAGAGAAGTAAGTGCGCGAGGGTCGGAAACTAAAGAGGCAGAGAGAGAGAATGAGAAAGAGAAATTTATTCAGTTCAGCGAGTAGTTTTCCTGAAGCGTGCTACAAAAATTAAAGTGAGGCAGAGAGAAAAGGGGATTACATGAAGATTTACTCAGATTATGTAAATATTACGTGCAAAATAAATAAAATAAGTATATATTCTTTTTTATACAGAACTTATTAAAAATATAAAGTACATTTAATAAATTGTTCATAAGCTGTATATACAGATTAAGAAAAAGATAAACTATTTTTATATTAAATTATCGGAAATACAAACGTATAAAATTGTTAATAATTTACTGCATTTTTAAATATTTTTTACAAAAGTGTATAGTAGTGAATATGTTAGCAAAATGTTGTTCTAGTAACTATAAATAGGAATTAAAACAAAAAAAAACTGAAATAAGGAGACAAAACGGATATGGAAATACAGAGGCAATAAACAAGAGTGAAAAAGGAATAAAAAGAAGAATACATACGTGGGCAAGAAGTAAAGCTTCAAGAAGCAGAAAAACGAGGAACACAGCTCGGGAGTGGAAAGAAAAAGAAAAAGACACCAAAGTCAAAGATGTAACGGTAATGAAAATGGAAGAACAAGGGAGCGCGGGAATAAGAAACCTCGAGGAAGGTAGAAGAAAACGTTATAGAATGAATATAGAGCAAGATAGAGGGAGAACATCGCAGCAGAGGAGAGAGAAGAGAAAGACAAGAACAGAATGAGAGAAAATGGGAGAACGAATATAAGAGGGAAAGAGCATTAACCCTTCTTTTTTCTTTCCTATTCCTCTCTCTGCAGCCGGCCAACGAGAAACGTGCCACACTTCCCAATCTCTTTTTCCCTCAGCCATTCTCCATAATTTAAAGTAATTTCGCAGCGCGGCACACGAGTAACCGCACGTTAATCCCCCTTGTCCTCCACCCGGACCGCCATGTCTAGCCTGTTCCACCACTGTTACCACTCGTCCTTGAGCAACGTATGCAGTGCGGTCACGTTCCCGGGGAAATCATGCCGCTGCCGAAAATGAATTGTTATTACGACGACGATATAGTGTCAAGTGCAAGCCGGGGGTCGATCTACGGCTCGCCACCCGACCCGGGTGTCCATTTCCGCGTGATGCATGGCCTTCGCTCTGAATTTACACGGTCCAGCGGTCGCGCCAACGTAAAATTGCGAGAAATGGCAGAGAGGAAGACGAAGACGTTAAATGGCCCCAAGAATTATCGACGCCTGATCGCAGGGGGGGCGGACGCGCGGAAAAATCGAGTCTCTCCTCCCCGACGAACGAGGCGTCGATGCGCCATGATGAACGGCGCCCCCGATCGTAGCTCTTCGTGGCTCAATCTTTGCACCCGGACGAGGCGTAATCGATATTTTATAGTTAACAAGGGCTCATTTGACCGTCGCTGCTTATTATAATGAACGATCCCGTATATCTGACCACGGGTCGCGACCTCGGGCGGAGGGGAAGGATCGGCGGTTACCGGAAGGGCCGTCGAGTTAGAGCAGAAACGGCCCAGGGGGACGCCGAGGGGGGTGGACGGCGCGCGAAGGGAGAGAGGAGACAGGCGTTTACGTGCGGCAGACATCCGATGATGCATAGTTGCTGTTGACATGCTGGAACGTCAGGCTCACATGACCTCTCGAGCGCAGCCATTATCCACAAAGCGCAATGCTCTCCGGTTCGACCCTCTTCCATCTCGTGCCTGTTGCCCGTCCCCTCTGTCCGTCGAATTGGGACAATAACCGCTTCGCAAAGTCGTGTTATAATTATTGGCCGGTTTTCGCGGGTTCCATCCCTCGTTATAGCACGTTTTGTCCCTCGTTAATTGCGCAATAATGCCACTACCGACGCGCCTCTTTGCCGTTACTCTCTCTCTCTCGCGTTTCCCGGCGCTACCCCTCGGAGAGCCCGTCGACACATGAGAGGCACGAATTTGTAAAACGCAATTTTGCAACACGCTGTATTTCCGCAGCCGGTTGTCCCGCTGACGTTTTCGACCTGACTGCCGGACTTTTATTTACGTGCGTTTCGCGTTCAGATTGATAATGTTGGCTCGGACGCACGCGACTGATTGGAACAAGTCGTGGAAGCAAATGCCATCCGAATGGGCGGGGATTTGTTGTTCAATGTATATATTAGATTGTTGTTTTATTGTGCGTATTTGTTACTGTTTAGTGCGTTTTAATGTATTAAATTACTGCAATAAAAAAATATCGATTTTTCCACTCAGCAATTCTGTAATTTTACATAATTAAATTGATTCAGTCAAAATCATTACAATTACATTAAACACAATATTTTTTATTTGCAAACTGTTTAAAAAAATCAAAATTCCAATAGGAAATATCGGAATTCGGAATTACATCACAATAAAGAAATTATAATTTTACATGAAGAAGAAAAAGATGCAAGGAATCGTCCTCACACATTTGACGTATATTTCTATTCCGCTTCCCTATTTCTCCACAGAAAAAAAGGAAATTTGCTGATATAATTTTTCTACAAAAATTCAGCCAAATTCAAATCTGAAAATAATATTGTTATGGACCATCCAAAAATAATTATATAAGAATAATACAATAACATAAGACTGTATAAAAATTTTTTTATACTCTACCGATCGATTGTTTGTTGGATTATTACGAAGCAATTTTCACATCTGTATCTAGTCAGATTGCCGTGTTAAACACCTTGGCAAAGGTGTTCTTTCACAGTGGCGGGAAAGGATGTTTGTCAGGCGCGCAATGAAAATCACAGAAACGGATGATGGAGCGAATATGCATTAGGGACAAGGGGATGACGCGAAACGACGCAACGCTCGATTACGTATGCAGCGACGCGACACGCACGTAATTCCGTCGGCGACGTAGCGGTGCGAACGCCAGCGATCGAACGCGCGACTTTACGCGGCGGGATCCGTGCGGCCGAACACGCCGGATTGTATCGTCGCATTGTGCGCGACGTGAGGCAGAGATCGTCGGCGTCGTGCAGGTCGCGCATTTGGCGCGGCGACTCGCGTATCGGACGAGTAGACTAATTGTTTTATAGCGAGAGGGGGCGATCTCGCTCTCGCCCTCCTCCTCCTCCTCCTCCTCCTCCCTCCCCCCCTCCCCCCTCCCCAATATCCGGCCCACACTTGTCGCAATACCGCAATCAGCGCATATCGCTGCACGCCGGAAATCGTGCCACGAATGTCATTGTTGCGCGTCCACAGTTAATCGTCAATCGACAATTTGATTCATCGCTAATGACGCACGTCGCGATATTGTTTTAAAGCAAGTCATGACCGGTAATGTACGGCCGTATCCTTCTCTAGAAAATAAATTTTTCTAGAGAAATATTACAGAAAGAAACCAAGAAACTTCAGATCTTTTGACCATTTTGATCATTTATTTATTTTTCGATTTTCTCGTACCTTTTTTTAAGAGATGCACGTAAAAAGCAATTTAATGAAATATTTAAAAATTTGGCCAGATATAAATCTGAAAATAATTTTGTTGGACCATCAAGTTAATGCTCGTAAAAATGCTCGAGTATGATGATAACTGCAAAAACTTTTTACATTCTAGCAATTAACTTGAGTATACATATTATATTTTTTTTGACCCAACAAAATTATTTCCAGATTATGTTCGAATTTTTATACGTTTTAGCAAAATTGTTCCTTCCGTATAACAATATTCATATTCCTGCGACATTGCGTAAATGGTTGAGGACAAAAATAGGATTCCTGGCATTTCTGTCTAATACAAGGCAACTG